GCTAGGGAGTATGATTTTAATATTTTTAATGAAGACAGCTTTGATCACTGCTTTTTATATTTCTCTATCTTTCCCCAACCTAGTTAATACTTAACATTGTGGTTTGCAAGGTTTGGGAACTCAATAACTTTACTTTGTTTTTGATTAAAAAGGACCAATAGTGGGATAGGGACAATTAGTGGACTTGAAGAATATTATGAATTTAGCGGAGCAGTTGCATCTCAGAAAATTGGTCACACCTTCCAACTGTCCTTTCTCTAGTGATTCAAATGAATAAATTAATATCCTTCTGGCCACATGTGATAAGTCTGACCTGTTTGCTTCTTACAAGTTGTTATTACTATATAGAGGAAGGAAAGTTGGATGGTTTATGATTATGATTGTGTCTTACTGGTTACTAAGTACCGATATTTAATAACCTACTGAAGGAGGTCAGAAGTTAAAATGCGCAAGAGTTAATATTTCTCACATAGGCAATATAATGACAAAGAGGAAAACGTAGCTGTGTAGATGACTAAAGATGTTACAAAATCTATTTTTCCTCCATGTGGTCTAATCTGGATACAGAAAAGAACTTGAATGTAGGCTGAGCTAATGGATTGAGTGAGGATGCGATGAATGTGAGACTTGAGGCCCAAGGAGGTCAAAGATAAACTGTCATCGGGGATTGGGGAGCTGGAAGGGGATTAGAGAAAACTCACCAGCCTCACCAGCACCACCTGCCTGGTTGGGGGTGGAGAGGGCTGCTGTGAGAGTTGGATGAGATCACGCGTGCAGAGCATCATCCTAGGTCTCTAGCTAGGTGGCCAGGGTTCAAATCCCTACTGTGCCTCTTTCTGGCTGAGTGGTCCTGCAAAGTTACTCATGTTACCTGAATCTTAATTTCTTCATCAGTGAATTTTGTAGACGAAACAACATAACAGATGCAACATACTTTGCACAGAGTAAGCACTCAGATGTTATTGTTATTCATTACTCTGATTACCCTAGGCCCCCTCTTTAAAATTGTAAACCCCAAATGCTCCATTCTCCTTTCTTATTTTATTTTTTTTGTAGAACTTATTACCATCTCCATGCTATATATCTTACTCATTTAACATCTTACTTTTCACTCTCCACATTAAAGTGTAAGCTCCATGGTGACAGGGATGGTTTTCTGTCCTGTTCACTGCCGGGGAGGGCTGAGGGCAGTGCCAGCACAACAGCTGTGCCCAATAAATATTTGTTGAATGGGAGAATCATTGACTAATGTAGTCCTTAGTGTAGAAGAGGGTGACAGACTGCTAGCTACTAAATAGCCAAAATGGCATTTTTGCCAGTGGAGACCATTTCAAGATGTGGCCAAAGGGGCAGGTTTCCGAGGGGAGTGGAGGGGAAGTTTGTTGGAGCTCAAGGAATCGGAGGCCCTGGAGCCAAGGTATGGGGTGGGTCATCCACACTGAATCTATGCCACAGGAGGAAGGTCAGAAGTGAGGTGGTGAGGATGAAGACAGCTGCCAGCTTCCCCGAGCCTGCAGATAAATGCAGAGGACTGCAAGCTGGTGAGCAGCAGACAGCCATGAGGAGCGATAGGGGCATTACCACGCGGCTGCTTTCACAGTGGGTAGCAGTGGTTTGGAAGTGGTAACAGGGAGTTGGGGGAATTCAAACACTGCCTCCTTGTCTCGTGACATCACCCCTTTTCATGGAGGGTGCTAAGGGAGCAGTGATAGTCCCTGGAGAGGGCTGGAATTCAGTTAAGGAAACAGGTGGGCGCATTGGCATAATGCCTGCGAATGTAGAGAAGGGTATTGCTAAGGATGGGATGATCCTGGAGGCGTGATGGGAGTAAGAAGAGCAAACAGGAGCACAGAGCGATCTAGAGATGAGTGTGCAGGAGGCTGTAAGCACGGAGGAGAGGGATGATATTCAGACACAAGGGACCTCAGGAATGTATGGCTGCAAAGTTGTTGGTTTTTTTTCCATTACCAGATACAAGATGTTTTGTAGTTAAATAAGCTAACCAAGCAGAGGGACAGCACATTTCTGGAAACTTCTTGATGTTAAAATGCTCAATGGGATTGTTCAAACACCTAACAGTCAAATCTTCTACTTGTCCTGGAAATACCTTTCCCTTCCTTCCATCTCAGAAGAATACTGATAGCTTCAATAAGATATTCTCTTGTTTGAAGGAATTAAAAAAGTTATTACCTCTTGTAACCTTCACTTTTTTTTTCTAGCCCAACTTAAATAGGTTGAGATCTCAGTGAAATTGCCTATAAAAGCAAAACATTAAGAAAAGCTTTGGAACTCTTGTGAGGTAGAACCATTGCTTTACACTTTTCTCTCATGTTAAATTAAATTTGGAAAGGTGAAGCATCTCATGTTATCTTCAAATAAATTCATAAGCCAACGATTATTAGTTTTCTGGTTGTTCAGTGGCTCAAACACTTACTGAGCAATGTAAAAGAAAGCAATGAATAATATAGGATGAGGTCTTAAACATTACAAAAACATGAATTAGATGCCAATAAATAATAATTTAAAAGCTATTTAGAACAGGTGCACATTTTGATCTGAGAATCTTTCTTCCTCTTCTGTATTCTCTGAATGAAAAATTGAAGAAATGATTATTAATATTAATAATAACAAATGTGGATAAACCAGAGCGTCCTAGAAGAATACAGCGGAAGTTCTATTCAATAAACCATGTTGAATGACAGTCTTTTTGGAGTTTAAAGCTTGGGAGGGGCACAATTGAACATGTCATCATTTCTGAGTCATTTTATCATGACAGCAGAAAATTAAAAAATCCTCTTTAGTTGCCCTAGCTAAAAATACCTGAGACTGATGTTCATGCTGCTGAAAACAAACCTCCATTCTTAAAAGATATTTTGCTTAGATGGCAAGGTGTCATGTTCAGTTTCTCCTAAGTCCTTTCTTGAAGTTCATTTTAATGTTCTTTCATCTGCATAAACATTTCTTGATGAGATAAGTAGGGACATACATTCATGATAGGGCTGCTTTCATAGTTCCTTGGGGAGCCTTGTCTGTACTTCTGACTTAAGCCAAGTCCAAGATGAAGATAACATGGTACTAGAGATTCCAATTATTCTCGAGTAAGACTTTTTTGCATGACTTCTCTTGGCCCGAATTGAGGTGCTTAAGGAATTTGAATCTTCCTAATTAGAATAGCAATGTTACCAACTTTGGATACCCAGAAACCTACTGACAAATATAATTTTTCTCTAAAATGAAAAAATGTGGTTCCCATTATGCTACTCCACACATTTCTTAATACTTCTATCTGACTAATGTATATTTAAAAACCAACCAGCCAACAATGCAAAATTATCTTTAGATCTGTATCTTCAAAACAACTCTACTTAACCTAACTCAAACACAAGCAATTGAGCCAACAGATACTATAAAACCCAAACAAACAGCAACAACAAAAAAACTGCCAAAGTTTTTATCCCTTTGGAGCCTCAGACAATTACTTGAGGGTTGCAGGTAGTGTATTTCTTAATTTCCCAGTTAAAACAGGATAGACTGCGGCCAGACTGAACCAGAGAACGACCCCTATGTAGGCAGGTATTTGCTGTACTTCAGGAATTCCAACGTATCCAACAGTAACTTCTCTTGAGATGTGCTGATCAACAAAAAGACACCTGAGCACTTTTTAACCCCAACTGATTGAAAGAGAAAGGATAGAAGGTCATAAATTTGTGGACTTTGCTTCTTAGTTAATACAAAAGTAATGAGGTGAGGCAACGAAGGCTTCCACCATCGTGTGGAAAATGTGTCCTTCCCTGAAGACTGCCTGTCCACCTGTCCTCTACCTGAGGCAGGTCAAGACATCAGGCACTTGGAAAATTTTAAATCAGACCATATTTTCTGGTGCTGTCCAAGCTACTTCAAGCTAAGGACTCCCACCTCTAGGACCATCTTGCAAAAAAAATTCACTGTTGAGAGAAAAAAACCACACCACACAAACTACTTTAAAAAGTCTGTATCAATCACTCTGAATTTTAAAAATGTGCTAAACATAAAGGCAAGTTAAGAAAGTTCTTTCTGTTTTCATAAAACACAAAGACACATTCTGTATTTAGATTCAATGCTAGAGTAGAATATTTTTTGGCCAACTTTTGATCCCAGGATAAATTTAGTTATTTAAAAATCATAGGAAGTAGGGACTTACGTGGTAAATATTCATGTGTAAGATGGCCTGTTAATTAAGTTAAACCACTTAATTTTTCCCCCCACCATTAGTTGAAATGAGCCATTTTATCAAATGCCAGGCCTGCTAAAATGACTTAGAATTCAACCATAAAATCAAAGAATGCTGATCCTTAATGCAGAAGTATAACGAATTGTTCAACACTGAAGTTAGATATCTGACAATTATATTTATGTGTATTTTCCTTAATCTTCTAAAATAGCAAGTCGAGCAATAGTTGTCTATTGTACTATAATCATTCCAGTTGTAGTTTCAGAAGATGTACGTAGAAGTTATTAAAATGCTTTTTTTCTTTACCTCATTTTTCTGATCTCCTGTGCAGCAGTCCTTGTCATTAAAATATACATACATACTTACAATAATGGATGTTGTATCTGAAATGTTAATTATCCAAAATAAAGTTCAATGTCAATTCCAACCAAAACTGTCTTTGCATTTGTTGCACTGTATTTGTAAAAGAGCTAGGAAAGAGTCCTGGTTGACAGAGTTAAGTTCCTTAGCCAAAAAAGGCCTTTTTTTATTTTCAATTTAACAGTTAATTAAGTAACCAATATTAACTTGAAATTAGCTTTAATTTTTTAATATGAAAAATTGAAGATCCCATACAAACCAAATTCATATAATATTTTCTTTAACATTTAGTATTTTTTAAGTAGCCATAGCATTTTTATATAGAAAGTGAGACCAGGTCTTTTGAAGAGAACTGGGATTTCAAAATGCAAATGGGAAAAAATGTTAAGGGGAGTATAAATTAGAATCTGGTATGCTATGTACTACTTACCTTCAAAAGTCAAATAAAACTTTCCTCTGTCAAACCAAACGAGGGAAGGCTGTTCATTCTCTGTATGGCCAGGAGTTGAAGCGGGATGGGAAAGGTTACGGAGAGGGAGAGAGAAGGACACAGTATGAGTTAAAGGTCATTAATCTCACTATGGGGGAGGGCAGAAGCACTGCATGCCATTAGCGTGCAGGAAAAAGGGAAGGCTGGCAATCATTATTATTTTTTTCTTTTTTTAGTTCAAGAAACAGAAAGCAAAAGCAAAGCTATGGAGGCCTAGAGGGATGGGCACATGGTGCTGGTAGTTTGATACTTAGAGCTTGCATGGAGCAGAAGTCTTCCTGGCCATGCAGGGGAGTCAGCATATTTTAACTGCATTAGTTTGGGCAAACTGTCATTCAGCAATTGCTGTATCCATTTCATCTTCAATGTCATCCCCTTGTGTGTTTTCAAAAAGATAAACTTGGAGTTACGGGTAACATAGAACTTAGTTTAGGTTTTAAATGACCACAGCATTGCATATCAAGTTAAAGTTTGTGGAAGATGTCCTATATCTTCCATTCCTCCCCTGGAATCACCTTAGGTATCCAGACACAAAACACCCTTTACCTATATACCAAAAAGAAAACAAGATTACTAATGGTGCTGTATGAATTTTTAGAATAAAAGGCAGTCACTGGACATGTAATTCTGAGCAGTTATATTATTCCTTCCTTTGTAAATTCACAAAGCAATAGCATCTCACCTTTTTTGAACCTTTTCACTGAGAAACTGTCATGCAACCTGTTGCTTTTTAATATTTTCACTTAAAAAAATTCAGCAGTATTAGTTCCATGATGAACAGTGAACAGGGTGCACTTGAGAGGCACTGGACACCCATGAGGTGAGGAGCATGTCCATGACCACTAGAGCATTCAAATGGCATAATGGCTTGGATTTGTCAAGTCTAGTTATCTAGGGATCACTCGGCTAGCACCATACCTGGTGGCGTTGCACAGCGCCTTTCAAACGAGGGCAGTTTGTCATAAAAAACATCATCTTCTGACACTACGAACCAAAGAAATATAAAAGAATGGAAAACAAAAACACAAATACAAATCCCAAATGAAATCAAGCAGCACACTTTACTGATCAAAACATAGGCATGACTTTAGTGGAAAAAGGAAACAAAACCTAAGACACTGGGATTATGACTAGGATATGAAGAAGTGATGTGCTTATTTCATGATGATTCTATGACAAGAAATTAAAATTTAAAAAAAATGTCAGGCTTTAACATCTGTGAATTTGGTTGAAGTCAGCTCCGTGGAAGAAATCATACCCCTCCTTTTTCAGGGACTTGTTAAAGGCACTATCATTAATAATTGACTTGTTCAAGTGTGTTTCTTTCAGACACAGTTCTCACGTGGCCAAACATATGTCCATCAGTAGAACCTTCTGACAGAGCACTGAGAGCCACAGGATCACCCAGCATGCACCTTGCCCCCACTGGGGAAAGAGGAAGCTTTTAACAAGACCATAAAAAAGAAATAGTATAAACCTGAGGTCCCTGAATAAAGTATTCCATTTTAACTGCATCAATATGCAAACATAATTTGCTTTGCACCTATCTTTGGTGATTCTGGGCTGTTAATTTGGAACAGTATTACTGTTACTCCATCTTTGGCTATGGTATACAGCTATGGTTAAGTATCTTTGTCAATTAGTCCAGTTGCTCTGAACCCCAAATGTTCCAGATAATTTTGCACATGGTCTCCCTTCTCACCAACTAACAAGTGCAAGTAATTGTAGTCTTAGTTCTATGTGATTAAAAGAAGTGCTCAATGCCACATGTCTTAGACTATTATTACAACTTTAATAAAAGATTGAATAAAATCTGTACAAAGTCTAGGACAATGTAGAGAAGTAGATAAATAAATGGATGAGAGTAGAAAAATTATTTCATAAATAATGTTTCTTGGAAAATTTTCCACTAGTTTGCCTTTCAGACTTAGGGAGTAAAGCAGGGAAACTACTTCTTTGTCAATTTTTAAGGTTCTAGGATATCACTTGTCATCAGTTTTTAGTAAACATATGACTTCCTTGGTGGCTAGAACAAGTTAATTGCCCTATAGTATTAACAGGAGAGAAACAGGACAAAGGGAACTAGCACTAAGAAGGACACTCCACGATCTCTCCAGAAACTAGGGAGTCAAACAGTTACATGGACAGCAATTGAATGTCACACTACCTTTTCATACCTACTAGTGGGAAATGATGGAGGATATTCTATTCTTTTGAAGAACTACCTACTTATTTATGATCTCCTTAAAATGAGGAGTCTCCAGTATTGCCATTTGTTCTTTGAGCTGAAGTTACAAAAATACAGGTCATGGGGGCTGAATGGTATGCTTATATACATGTGTATATATATATATATATATATTAATAGTGGTCATGAACATCCAGGGCTTAGAAGAAAACATACTAAATAAGTTAGGGAACTTAAAAATTAGTCAGTGGATAGCTTTTTGCTTGGTTTAAATAAGGACAACACTCAAATTAAGTACTGAGGAAAAAATTTCCATAAGAACTAACCTTAGAAATGGCCTCAAATTGGTCTAGGAATGGGAAGCCAGTATTCTATACAGGGGTTTCCAAAAAAATAGCAGAGAAAAAAGACTGAAATTAAATGTGGTAATTTTTAATCGGGATCAGGAATATCCATCTCCAATTTCTTTTTGTGCAGAATAATTGGCATTAATACACATTTTTGTTTTTGTTTTTTAAAGATCTTCCAGTTCAGAATTGCCACCCAGTTTAGAAAGACAAAGGCTTAGAGGAAATATTTTAAGTTTTAGGTGCTATGGTTAATATTCAGCACTGAATACAAGTCATTTTTGCTCAAAGTTTAAATGCTCAAAGTCCATTTGATGCTTCCTTTGGTGCCCTTAAACGATTCATTTTCATTGATTACAGATTTTTGGAATGTTAAAGATGCCATTGAAAATGCATAAACAATAGTGAAAGATATAATTAACAGTGAAATTAATAATGAAGAAAAAATTTCTTTATGACAGTCTTTTTGCACTGAGCTCCCAAAGGAAGATTTTGCAAATATCTAAAAAAAAATTGTGACAACTGTGACCCATACAAGTAAGAAAGGTAATAAAAAATAGATATTTGCAATTAGAGATAACTCCCTGTTCATCTCTCTCTCTAAATATCTAGGAGTTTGTTTCTTCTTTAAACATTTTCTCGATTCCCATATTAACAGATCAAATTGTGAAGGTCTTATGAGCTTTCTCCAGGACAAAAGGAGTTTATTGTATTTCACAGATTCTAATATGTGCACTTTTTTACATTTAATCTCTCTGAAATTGGGATGGGTCTTAAAATCAATGTGGTAAGAAATCACTGCATTAGTTCAATTGGTAGCTTGCCGCTTTCTTTCTTAGTCATATATAAAATAATAGTGCATCTTCTAATTGAAAGTGTCTTAAATTCAGTGAAGTACAATTACATTGGTGCTTTTCATTATTTGAGTGTGCTAATGCACAGGACATCCTATATTCAGGTGTGGCATCAGCTATACTACTTTATAATCACAGCTCTTACAAAAGATTTTACGCCCAAAGTCTTTCAGTGGCATATTCTTATATGAATTGTTGTGTAGAAAAATTACATTTGTTCTTAAAAATTTAGTCCTTGAATTCCATTAAACTCTGCAATAGGCAAGTACAAATAAATAAGTACGAAGCTTCTGTCACACTTGCCCCAATTTGGGCTCAAGTGTCATAGGAAATGTCAAAACTGTATTGCAGTTGTAGGAGGGAAATGTGGAGCCATCAGCTTCAGGAATTTGCTGCTAAAATTCTCTTATCTTCCTCAAGCTATTTGACTACATTAAGTTAACAGTCCAAGTTGCAGTCATGAACAGTTGGCTCCTCGGTGCTGAGCAGCTAAAGCACATCCTTTCCAAAAAGAGATAAACAGCAATACACACGAAACTACTGGGCAGTCCGTCATTTGACAATGTATTTCCTTCAGAGAGAAGTGGCTGTTGGGTGAACCTGCCACAGTAGGAAAGAAAGGACAGGAGACCGAGGAAGAGGAAAACCAAGTAAAAACAGCAAAACCAAACAGATTAGATCAGAATGCTCCTCAGCAATGAAGCAATGTCACTATCCTCTCAGGTGACTTTTTCTTTTCCTAAACCCCTCTGTGGTTCATCTTGAAAGGCTGCATTACTAGATGTGTTAAGAATCAAAGTCACTGACCAGGATTTGAGATTTCTGCAGCAAGGAGTAAAAAAACACACTGTACAAATCATGGGCACAGTTCAAATTCTCTGCGTGTGCAATTTTCTCTGAATCTCAATGAGTTAAAATAATATGTTAGATGGTCATCTGAGGTCACTTGAGGTCTGCTTTCTGAGTGACAATTTATTTTTCTTACTTTCATCTCTGAACAGCCAGGAAAATCACATGAAGTGAGTGGAACAAATGATTTTAATTAAAAAAAAAATAAATAAATAAATAAATAAAACGCAACAAAAAACAGAGCAGGGATTGGTGAAATGACTATAGCGATCAAGGGTATTAAAAAGAGTTCAAAAATAAGGCTGGGGTGTTTAAAGAAAAAACAAACAAAAAACCCAAGCTAGAAATGAGGTAATAGCATCTAAAAATAAGAGCACCAAACTGCCCCAATTGATTTGGCTACATAACTAAAGTTAAATATCTGTTAATAAATCATACCAAATTGGATAGCTGGCTATACTTTCACTAAATTTGAAGGATTCTTTGGGGCTGGTCTGATAAAATATATATGTATATTTCACTGAGCATAATACCCTCTAGTTCTACCAATGGCAGAAAAAGACAAATATCAAATGACTTCACTCATCTGTGGAGTATAAGAACAAAGAAAAAAATTGAAGGAACAAAACAGCAGCAGACTCACAGAACCCAAGAATGGACTAACAGTTACCAAAAGGAAACGGACTGGGGTGGATGGGTGGGAAGGGAGGGATAAGGGGGAAAATGGGGCACTACGAGTAGCACACATAATGTGGGCGGGGGGTGGGAGCCCAGGGAAGGCAGTATAACACAGAGACCTGTAGGGTTTCTACAGCATATTACTGGGCTGATGGACAGTGACTGTAATGGGGTATGTGGGAGGGACTTGGTGACAGGGGGGGTGTCTAGTAAACATAATGTTCCTCATGTAACTGTAGATTTATGATACCAAAAAAACAAACGAAGTGAAAAAATACATATATATACACAACACATGACACAGCTGAAAATCTCTTTGGGGACTCTAGTGGCACAACTTATTTTCCTGAGAAAATTGGGATTTCACCCCCAAAGAGCATCAGCCTTTGATCAAACTGCTTCTCACATGTAATGTGCTCTTCTTTAGTAAGAAGCAGCAGGAATTAAAATTTATTTAGTTTTGGTTAATGATTCTTCCAAACAATGCAGGATGGGTCAGCTGGTTTATGATTGGAGAGACTTGGGAGCATTCAGACAATAAAGGAGGTCAATGGGAAAAGGTGGAATGGGAAAGCCCCAGGTCAGAGGCACCATGCAAACAGGGAGAGGGGCAGCAGGAGCTTATGGCAATTGGATAAAGAGATGTAGAGAGAGACCAGCCTGGGGAGAAGGAAGATGCTCCAGGCAAAAGGAGGCATTTAAACCTGGGAAAACCATCCAGCTGAGCAGCCATTCTCAACTCTTCACTTTCATCACACCGTAAAGAAAGAGGCTCATAGGCATTTTCCTGAAATGCCAGTAATGACTTATTTCTTGGGGAAACTGACCACACATCACTGAAAAAGTACTAGAAAAAATGCCAAAGAGTTTTGCTCAAGTCCCACAGTGCCAGTGTTTACAGCATCAGTCAACATAAGCACAACCAAAAATGAAGAAATGAAAACTTCAAGAAAAGAAAAGTTCCAAATGTTGTGATTTCAGATGCAGTATATGGCTGGAATGTAAGTAAACATTCCCCCTCCAAAGGAGACTATTTTTACTATAAGAAATAATATGTAAATTACAGGACCTGTTTTTGACGATTTCTTCTTTAACTTTTCATGAATAGCTCTGTATGGAATATAGTAAGGGAACCCTGCAAAACACAGGTGTAAACGTTCTTTTATTTCTTTATTCTCTTAGTTAAAGCACTTTGCCTCCTTTGCTGAGAAGGTGCTTTTAAAAGAAGAGTCAGATGATAGTAGCAAAACACAGCAAAACAATTTTAGGCAAAAACATAGGAACTTGGGGTTTTCAGGTTATAGAAGATAGACAGTCAAAACCATAAATGGATTAGAAGACAGGAGATAATTTTTACCAACTGTGGGAGTGGTGGCTGCACTCAAGGAATTGGTGGACGATATTGAAGAGGTGCTTTCAGCCCGGGCTAGGGGTGCTATCGGAGGAGGGCTGGAAGAATGTATGGGAGGGCTAAAAGGTCTGGGCTGCAGGGAGAAGAAAAGAGATGGAAAATTAGAAACATGGGTAAAGTACTTTTTTCCCATATTTGTAACATCTCTCAGCCCCAGATATGACAACTCAGGTTCTTAAGAGTATAGGTGACACCATTTTCACCTTGATTATGTGAAACTATTAATATTTATACAGGAGCTTGTGGACAGAGCAAGGGAAGCCATAAGCTATCCTACACTCCACGGGTGCATCAGGCTTAGAGGAGCTGAGATCCGTGCTGTGGTCAGTGATGTTTCAGGACTGTGAACCCACATGCCCTCAGGGATTCAGCAGGTAACATAATGTAAATGTGTATACCCATTTAAAGATATTTAAGTACAAAATACCATACTGTGCTAGCTAAACCACATATTACAGATATCACCAGGTTGTGACTCCTGTGTATGAATGTCAAAAAAATTGGCCCCTGCCAGAAGTCTTTGAATTGTTCATACAGATTTTTTTCTACCACTTATTCTTAAAACGAGATGCAAGAAACTTCTGGAACAAATTCATTGGGCCACCACTCTTTTGTGTAATCACATAATGTGCCTAGCACCGATAACTTCTCTGTATCTGGGGACAGAAATCAGGACTTGCCCATTCTTAGAATCCTCCAAAAACAGGTAAATATGGCAAAAGGAATTATATCTACTTCCAAAAGATTTAGCAAAACTGAGCGCTACGATTTTAACTTGCATCAAAACTATTGTAACAGAATTGAGGGCTCCACTTTAGACCTTGGCTTTAAAGATAGTAGAGATAAGAGGGGTGTTGAAATGCACACCCTTGCTGCAGCGACTGGGTCAGAGGCCACCTCTCAGGGCCAGTGGTACAAGCAATCCAAAGCTTAGACCTGAAGCTGAGACAGCCTGTGCTAAGGCATTTTGGCTTCTGTTTGTCAGTCTCACCACGAGTTTCTGAGCAAGCCAGGGCCGAAGAACATACCACATCCCCGACTCCAGGTTTTCCCGGAGGCAGCTTCGGCCGCGATGGAGGCCGTGGAGGGGGTGGAGGCGGGGTGGCGCTGCCGCAGGGAACCAAGGGAGTGGCTGGCCGAGCAGGGGACGACGCACCTGGAAAACAAGCTGGCGTGAAAAAGGGCTGGAAACACAAATGGCCCAAGCGTTGCCATCACACGATCCCCATTCCCCATTCCCAAAGTACAACGCCATCCCGCACAGTTTGTTCACCTCAGCAGGTAGTATACTTGACACTCTAACACATGGTGTGTTTTTTTTTAATAAAGAAAAAAAATCACTCAGTTGAACTATGGTTGATGGCAGAAGCTGAAGCCCATTGCCTTTTGTTGTCATGTGACACCCAGTGAAAGGTAAATCCTTCTGTAACTCTGTGACAGAAAATGTTTTAAGAATCTTTTGGCTGGATGGTGGGTACCTTTCATTTTGACCTTATAGACACCAAACTTGAATGTCCTCTTGTTTTTTTTGCATAGTTAGAATTTATTTATGTCCAAGATGAAAAATGGAAGTTAGAACTTGAAGGAAGGTAAATGATTTTTCCACATTTTATATATATATTTAAAACATAAAGAAGAGAATTATCCTTCTTTACTGGGCTTTAAAATATGAGTACTGTATAAATATAAGCAAACACTTGGTGGTAAGCAAAAGACAAAATATAAGAAAGTAAACTAGATGGTGCTTGAGTTCTTTGCATTCAGAATCTTAACAGAAACACATTGAATTTCGAGGATTTTATTTTTCGAAGGAGGCTATTTAGGAATCTGTTCTACAAAGAGTTTGCTCATGATGACTTTGTGATGATATTTAAGGAAAAGGCTCTTGGATTTACTTCTCTGGCTGTCAATGACAAGCATATGAAACACAGAAGACACACAGAGGCCAGCATGCACACTAACCAGCGTGTATGTAGGTAGGGACTAGGGGCTTGGGGGTCTGCCTATCTTAGTCATATGTCCGGGATGCATGGGTAAACTTCTTGGCTAAAAACCTTGACAGAGTCAAGTTGATATTCCAAACAGTTCTTGTTCAGAAAAATTCCAGCTACACCTGAGGTTTGTCACTTGGGTTAGGAGCACAGGTATCAAATCATTCCAAGAAAATTCTAAGCAATTCTGCCCCAGGAAAAAAAACCCCAGCCCCCTGCCGACATGCCATAAAACTGTGCTTTCTGGAGAATTCTGGACCAGAATCTCTGTCTTTGGATGCTACCTCCTCTCCACCACTACCAGCTTTTTGCTGTGTTTGTACTGAGCCAGGATCTATGCCAGACACTTTACATGCATTATCTCATTTTGTCCCACATTAAGTTTTGGAAGAAAGAACTGTAATTATCTCAATGGAAACTGCAGCTCAGAGATACTTAGTAACTTGCTCAAGGTCACACAGCTCAAATGGTCTATTTAACTCTAAAGCCCAAGCTCTTAAATGCAATGTCTTGTAGCTTTGGGTGGACTGAAGTCTCACATTTTGCATAAAGCCTGGTCTTATTTTTGCCTGGGCAAGTTGCACATATCTTTTTCAATATAAATATTCTTAGTCTTTGGCTTATTTTCTCTTGAATTAAAAAAATAAGGCATATTTGACAGGTTCTGCTACAAAACTTTCTTTGATGTGAATAGATTTACACCCAGGATGTTTTCAGAAAACAGAAGTGACAACAAAGAAATATCAAAGCTTTATACAGCAAAGCCTTTGTCAGGAAGTTTCGTGGGGCTTTTTCTGGGTTCTATTTTGCTTGGAAAATCATGTTACAGGAATGATTCAAAATGTCTATCCATAGGTCTATTTTCAAGAAATAGTCTGAACCAATTTCAGGAAAAGGTCAGCTGCTTATCCTTTTCCTATGTGTTCTGGAAGGGAAATTTAAAAACCACTGTCAGTAATGCTTGAGAAAGTAGTAAGGATTTATCATAAAGTCAGTGTGGAACACTGAAAAAACTGGATGAAATGTCTGATGATTTGAGTTCCGGCCCTGCTCACCTCTTATCAACTACAGGATCTTAACCTCTCTGAACCTCAGCTTCCTATTTTAAAAAATGAGGCATTTATCTACCTTATAAAGTAGTTGTAACAATCAAAATGGAAAATGCCTGTGATGTTTCCAAAATGGAAAGTGCATAGTAAACTATAAAATGCTACACAAATGGAAGGAAATAGGTGTTGATGATAATGGCAAACACTGTATCTTTTGATACAGATACAATGAAAACCAAAGAAAAGAGTGTTAGTTAACTGTTTTCCTTTTCCTCACTTTCTCCTAGGTGAATTGATTTAACAGATTTTTTGTGCAGCTAGAAAGGTACTAAGGGAGTGTTAAAAAGCAAAATCCTGCTGGACAGAACCCTGAGGACATGAGAGGTATTTTCACAACTGAACTAAGGCTTCACATGAGTTCATGAAATTACACAGTTGTTTGGTATTATAAGAGTGTAGACGGCTATTATTTGTATATTTCTATCATCATTCTTCCATCTTGAATTATACTTTCATTTCCCCTTCAGGCAGTGTTTATTCCAAAGCACAATGCTGGAAAATAATTGGACATCACTGATTAAGTTTTAACTTTAAAAATCACCTGCACATTATATGAGTTTTGTGAGTTCAGAAAAGCTGGCAGCCATTGATAGGCTCTCAATCCACCTGCTGCTGTAACCAGAAGTTCCATCACGATTTCTTTGCTAACCTCTGGAAACCACCCAACCAGAGCTTCAACTTTCATCTGTGTGTGTGGGTTTGTGGACAGGGGTGGGCAGCTGGGGAGACGCGGTAAATGGAAACCAACAGATCTGGGGTCAAGTCCTAGCTCTGCTATGTTTAGCTTCATAACTGCGGTCAAATTCCATCTTTGAGCTTCCATGTCCTTATCTGTAAAATGAGGTGAATATGCATGATGTTGTTGGGAGAACCAAATGAATGAAAAGATATGTTCTCCGAAAAATGTAAAGAATCAAACTGCCTTTCTTAAATTATGCTTCTTAGAATACAACTACACCATTTCTTTGAAGAAAGTATTAAATATATGTGGGAAGAGTACATACTAGGTTTTTCTTTTGGTGACCAGGAAATCATTTCAAGCCCTAAAACAGTCCTGTCCAACAGATTCAACACCTGGTAGGTCAAACTCATCTGCTTATAAATATGTGTGTATAACATCTTTTAAAATTGCTTTAGTTTCTCAAGTTGGGAAATGTTGCACAGATCACGCTATCTTTACTAACAACTCTCTTTCCCGGACGCCCAAATGTGCTGCATGCCAATAAAACTCTTTCTCTCTCCCATCCCCTGGCACACAACGCACCAGGCAGAAGAGAGAGCCTTTATCTGCATCCCAATAATGCAACATTCTGGCCAAATTAGGTATTTATAATTTTTTACCATAAGGAAATTAAAGTTCTTGAATTCCTGACTTACAACTGTTTCAGCAGCAGGTAACTTTTCTGGTTCCCAAGGCTGTGAGTACTGTCTAAACTTGGTCAGTGTGACAGTCGCCTTACTGTGTATGAAATTTAAAAAGTGAGTATAATGGCATCTGGTTAAAGATACTTTGAGAAGTACAGGAAAAGTCAGTCTTATCAGGCTGCACGTTATAAAAGCAGGTTTGAAGAGCACTGCTGTTCTTTAAAACATGAGGCCACATCCTATGGTTTTAATCCTGAATTTACATTTCTGCCAGTCTATTCCATCAATAAAATATTAAGCAGCAAATAAACTGGGACTTAATTAAGGAGATAATGGTGCAAAGTTTTACTTATTCATGAGCTTCATTGGCCCAGTTCAATCTTCCACTTAGAAATTCAATCCTTTAATACTAGCAAAGTACAGTTTTTTTTTCCAGCTCAATTATTGAGAATCAATAGTTTTTACTGGCAACATTTAAAAATAATTTCAAATAAGGGTATGGACACTAAATTTTAAAACAACAAAATTCTCAAAGATTTTAGAAAGAAAGCCAGAGCTCCTCTTTTCACTCATTAGGTCGGTCAGTAGTCAATTCAATTAAATGAACATCTCTCCGAGCCTCGCGGCAGGCGGTGGAGGAAATAGATGAAGAGCAAAGCTGCCCTATCCCTCCCTCCCTCCCTCCACTAAAGGTGTTTACTGAGGAGGGCATAGTGACCCCCGCCTGGAGGAAGGGGTTTTTTTCCTTGAGAAGTCCTTTTGGAAGACCAAGACCTGTCTGGAAAGAGAGCCAGAGAAGACAATGTAAATGCGTTCCTCTTTTGACGATGAATGGCCAGCTTCTTGGCATCTGAGGTCTGAACTGAAGACTTTCCCTAGGGCTCCTTTATTACCTTTATAGAAAAGGACCCTTATATCCCAAAAAAGATCTAAAAAGGCAAATGGGGCTGGAGGTGGGTGCCCCAACCCTCTAGAATTATAGAGGAGCACTGAGGAGTAGGTTTTGAGGGAAGACTTTATGATCTCGTTGATGACACTGTGCAGTATAGGTGGTGTCAGTGGCCAATTAAGTTTGGGGTATTTTGTAACTAAACCTTACAAAAGTGCCTGAATAGCATAATGGTTAAGAACACAGGCTTGGATCAGACAGATCTGAGTATGAATCTCAAGTCTATCACCTCTAGCTGTGTAAACTTGGGCAAATTACTTGACATCTCTGAGCCTCAGTTTTCCCATCTGTAAAATGGGGAAGATAAGAGCATTTACCACATGTAAAGATGAAATGATGGTATCCAGGAGAAGGAACTATAGCTATTGTTACTACTGGCAAGATAAAGGCCCTCGGAAATTCTCTAGTAAGGAAACCTGCTGATTTTGTTTTAATACATTGTTTCTCAAACATATTTTGAATATCGAATAGTTTTCCTTTTCTGGTGGAGGAGGGTATATGGGGTACAGGTAATGATATGAAACACTGATTTTTGTGTGGTACAGGTGAATTTCTTTCCTTGATCAGCTTGGTTGCTCTCATTTTAAAGCACAGAGGGCTTTTCAAACACAGAACAAGCACTAGAAAGACACTCCATTGAGAGAAGCAGCAGTGACAACTATTAGAATAGAGGCAAACGTCTTTCCTTTCTGTCCCTTACTAGACCTAAATAAGTTAAACTCGGTCACCTCCTTCAGAGCAAATGGAAAACAAGTAGCACATGGCACCCTCGGGAAGGTGCCTAAACTGACCCCACTGGCACTGGATGAAGGGCTCCGGAGAGGCTTGCCAGACAAATGTGACCAGTATAATAAATGATATGGAGGAACATACCTTAGAAAAATCTTGATCTTTCTTGGGTATGCATGGCGGGTATTCCCACCCTTTCATGATTAGAGAACATGATGTTTCAAATAAGGACAACCAGAAAATCAGATTCAATGTCAACATTTGCATACAGAGTCCCAAAATGTATATTTCAGATAGACTTTTCCATCACCTGTCACAATACTTAGAGTTGGGTTCATAGACTGATGAGTGTGTCAGAATGAAATCAGAGAATAATTTGTCTTCAGTGGCGGCTTGATTAGGTTAGAGATGCAGTAAGGCATCTTCTTTTGACCATCTCCTCAAATCTCCTTTCCAAACCCTAACCTTACTTTTTTCCTGAACTGGGCTAGAGGGGTTAACATGGTTCTCCCCCAACAAAGAAAGAAATAAAAAAGAAAAAATGTTTAAAGTAGGAGATCTACAGAAACTATGGCCCTTGGAGAAAAAAAGCAGCACAAACTTTCACTTATAATATGAGTAAGGTCTGAGACTCTAAAGTGTAACATGGTGACTACAACTTTGTATTGTATAGCTGATAACACTGTACTGTATAAATGAAATTTGCTAAGAGAATAAACTTTAATGTTCTCACTCCTCCTTCCCAAATAAAGGTATGGATGTTAATTGACTTGATGGGGGAATCCTTTCACAATGTATTCGTGTATCAAATTATCAATCATATTGTATGTACAATTCAGATGTCTTAAAATTTTATTTGTCATTTATACCTCAATCAAGCTGGAAACAGAACAAAACAAGCTAAAGAACTAGGGGGGTTGTGGTAGCATATCACAAGGCAATCAGACATTTAACATGAAATTCACTGGCTGTGAACTCTGTCTTTCTAGAAATTTTCTGACTTCCAAACAATGACTTTGCAGCTTTCTTTAAAAAAAAAAGAATGCATACTTCCTAATGGTAGGGTGAAAGGCAGGGCACTCCTCTAAGGGCTGGGAGTGCAGGGCAGAACACAAATCCACAGATTTGCACTATGACTGCAAACGTTTGATGGACTAGGACATGCCATGGGGCCACAGGACACCCAGACCACAGGAGGGATGGCTGAAGCTCTAAAGCCAACTGCCCAGCGGGAGGAGGGTGTTGCTCACACTGCAGCAGCCACGGCCATTCCTGGTCACACGAAGCATACTCAAAACCGTAAGACATACCACTGGTGGTCCCTGTACCACTGCCCGAGCCAGGTCCAGGGGATGAAACTACAGTCCTGTAGGTGGGTGGTGGTGGGGGAGGCGGAGTTGCTCTCTGTCCCAACCCAAAATCTTTAGGAGATGAGATTGTTTCTAAGTAATCATCTTTAATGAAGGTCTGCTCAGCGATTTTCTTCTTGACTTCTTCTAAATTGAGTGGTGACGGTGCATTGCGAAGAGGACCCGGGGTCCCTGGGGGGCCTGGGGGGCCTGGAGGGCCCAGGGTTCCCGGAGCCAGAGAGTCGGCTGCGTTGTCTGATGTGGCTGGTGGGGACACCACCATTTCCCTTGGAGTCAACTCTGGAGTAACATGTTCCGGGGATGTATCAGAAAAATGAACCCACTTTTCTTCAGCATTAACAGCAACAGACTTGGGGGACAACACTGGGCCAAAAATGCTGTCCAAGTCATTGATTGATGGTAGTTTTTCAATTTTGACCTCTGTGGCTGACTGGTCATTTCCTGTGGTTAAAGTAGTTTATTTTAAACTTCAATTGGCTTCATTAGTATTATTTGTATGGGGGGTGAGAAGGGTAAGACAAAGCATAGAAAATAGCTCGCCTTGTGAGGTGCCTCAGTGGGCATATCTCATGATGTAAAACTATCTTGATCTGAGCTAAAGGGGAAAATAGACTTGCCTGCATCTCACAATGTGAGCATCATCTTTTTATGCTAGTATTTACCCTTTTGCAGGGTGACCCCAGTTAGTTACTTTAACCATCACTGGAAGACCTGGGCATGCTATTGCCCTCAAACACTGCTCACAAGAGTGCAAAGTGTGCTCATTTTAAGAAGGCAGTGTTAGGGTCACAGAGAAGTGTGGGTTCTGGAACTGCAAATGCTAAAAGGAAGTTTGGAAAATCTTGCCTGTGATAGACATACAGCACAATAGGAAAAGAACAGATAGCTAAATATCACCCTTATATTTGCTATTGTCTACTCTACCATGTTAAATGAAAATTTTTGGTGAAACTAATTATAATATGTTAGTTAAAAAAACATAATTAGCTGTACTTCCTCTGCCTTAAATATATCATGAACATGGTACAAAAATTATTTTTAAAGGGTTGTCCCCACATGTATATTTACATACACACATGCACACACACACAATTCACACATAGATTATTGAGAAGACATTCACTAATTAGAACTCTTACATATATACCTATTTAATATGAAAGATTATAAAAAATGATTTATAGTTTCTTTTCTTCTCAAGTCTGACTCGTTAACATTGTAGGCATGACTGTAATATACATTTGAAGTCATGACGCAGGAAAGCCTCTATTTTGGTTAAACTTTGCATCAGCTATTCTTTTTAATTCTTATTCTTTAATTCTTGTTCTTATCAGTAATAAGAGACAAAAATTAAAAATTATCTTCTACAGCTTGGCAGGAAATATTTGGTAACAACTGCAATGTGAGGAAGTATAATTTTTTAAAACTGAGATTATGCCAATTAGAAATTTTTACCTAAATAGTTGCAAGGCAAGGCATGGGCAGAAGCCACTTTACTTTTAAATAATCCTTTGGCTGCAAGAACAGGCTTTGTACTTTCATATTTCACATTTGAAAAGAGTTAACCTTCAAGGCTCCAAGGCTACAGATAAAAGGGATAGCAGTTTGCCTGGCCCACAATATTTTAAATTTTGTCACTGGTAGATTTATTTATATCTAACATATTTATGGAAATACAAGGGGCCAAGATGATTTGACCTTGTAAACACCTTTACCTATGACACTCTGGATAACTCTCTGTCAAGTAGAGTCAATGTAAATTTCATAAATGGCTATGTTTTGCATTTGCTCTTGTTGATAAATAACCCACTCTGTAGCGATCAAACTCACCAGGCTGCATAAATAGCAGAGGATGAAGCTGCAATAGAATTCCAAAGGTGATAAAGAACCATATTCTAAGGGCCTAAGCACATAAAATGACTATTGCTGCTTTTGACTTGCTGGCCCAATAAGACAAGATAGATTTTAAATTGTATGGATACACAGTATTGGTTTTAATAAATGGCAAAGATGTGCCTTAGAAATTATCTGTCTAAAGGTGTGCAGCATTTCCTTGTTGTATTTCATCATCTTTACACATCTCTTTGCCATAGGATAATAAATGCTTTAATGATTACTGAGAAGAAAGTCCCCACCACCCAAGCTTACTCATATGCTACACATCCTGGGAACCATTTTATGTCTTGGTAGACTAGACAGTTTTAATTCTAGAAAAAAATGGGTCTGTTCTTGAAAATATATGAATTGTACCTTAAGGCTTTGAGTTTGCATATCATTAAAATGAGATCCAATGAAGTAAATGTCAATTAAAAGATGACTTCTGATATTGAGATTTTTTTCTTTCATTTCACAAACGAGGCCCTCATTCAACAAAATTATAGAGAGGAAAAATTAGTTGAGAAAATGAGCTTCCTTGTGAAACCTGGGAGTGCTTATTTTAAAGGAAGTCTGCATCATATATTGTAATGGAAGTAAAACTAAATGCAAACATGTTTATGTTTAGTCTAGCCTACTTCTTCTGACACATCTGGGCCACTGCTGATTGCCACATCCTCCCAGAACAGGACAAACTAAACCTTACCTGGTCCGACCGTTAAAGGGGAGCCTGTTCGGGGTGGGGTGGCTGGTACATTTTTTGGAGGCAATGGTGGAGGAGCTGCAAAAAGATGAGAAGCCAAACATTATTATTTTCTCTCTAAATTGCATAATACTCTGTAGAAAAGCAGGATTGGGGTTTTCATTCAGATTCCTGCTATCAGAAGTAGAATTACCATCAATGGTCTAAAATTATTTAAATTTGAAGTTAAGGGACTGAAGCAACTCCCATTCATATTCTTCCAGTTTGTGCTAATTTTTCAAAAGAATGACAGATAATACAATAATAATATTATCATTTTATTCATTCATTCCTTTATTTGACAAACCTCAAGCGCCACCTAAGTCTTATACCCAAGTACCAGGAGCTCCGGACACAGCACTGAAGAAAAGGGGCCTCTGCCCTTAAGGAATTTATGACTGAATGACTGAATACCACATTAACAGATAATTTAATCCAGGGCGTGATCAAGGACAGGAGAGCAGCTTGGGTGGGGGTTCACGTAAGGGTTTTTTAATACAATCAGGATATTATTGCTGATTAAGTCTGGGAAGATTTCTTATAGTTAGATGTCTTAAATTTTCATGTACTTTTGAAAGTCTGAAGTAATATGATTTGGGTCAAGGAAGAATGAACAGATTCCTATGCTAAAAATTATGGCTAAGAAACTTCCCCTGAGATAGAAAATGTATTTTGGCCCCAACCTGGAGATGCACCCTTCTGAATTGGCTTTGTATTTTGGTGGACAAAGTTAGGAATTACTGATTCAACAGGTGAATTGTTTTTCTAATTCTTTCTTTAAATGTATGTTTTCTTGCACCTGATTATATTTGGTAGATGCAAAGAGGCCACATTCATCTCATAAACCAGCCCCAAGTTCTTTTGTGAATCTGACTGTGGTCCAATCAGCCTAATAGCAAAGTGGGTCAGCTGGGCATTGGCTGGAAAGAAAGAGCCCCTTTTTGTCATTCCTCTGCAACCTGACTTCATTTACCTATTTTTGGAGAGTGTCCTGTCCTTCCACACAACAGGCATGACTAACAGCCTTCATTCTAAAGGCCAGGAATATGTGGGGCTTAATCTCCATTAGGTACTTCTGAAAACTACACCTCAAATGGATCATATTTTCCCATAGAATTTGAGAGTCAGCCAGGGGCTCTGTTTCTGATTAAGGATCTTTGCAAAAATTGAGAACCTAATCAACACAATATCATAAAAACATAAAATACCAGAAAAAGATAAAATACCAGAAAAGTCCAATACTTAAAATAGTAAACTTATGCTGTAACTATGAAATGATCAGAATTATACAATACAAGTCAGTTATCCAACAGCCTCTGCTCAGCACATAAAACTCATAAAAATCTAAAATGTCAACAGTTGAACTTAAAATCAACTTATCTTCTACATAAATCTTTCATTTGTGTACTTCCCTGGCATTTAGGAAGGGTTTTCTAGGAATAATCCGGATAGCTTAGCTCTCTAAAGAAAGCTTTTCAATGAAGTTAGGGATTTTTCCACTGGCTTCATTTCCCAAATAGAGTAACATTTAAAATCATACCTCTGGGGTTCAAATCCTTTCAAAACACATCACTGGAAGTTTAGAAATTTAAAAACAGTTGTCCATGCTATTCTCCTATCCTGTTTTATGAGGGAAATATTCTTGGAAAGACTAGATCACATGGCTTTATGGCAATATTCCCAAGAAATAATTTCTTTGGCCTTTAATTAGGAATCTGTATGGTTAATTCAGATGATTATTTTTAGGTTTCAAAGAGCAGAGCCCTGGGGATGTCGAATTGGAAAAAGTATAATTATATGAGCCTCATGGAGTGAATATACCCTCTGAATCCCCTCTCCACCACCAAATACTTTTGTCTGAGATCCAATCTGCCTCCCGCGGGCATTTTATGGAGCTTTTCACATGCACATCAGCTATGGGGTGTCTACTGAAAGGAGAGCTCAGTACATCTATCAGAGGCGGCTTGACTGAGTGAGCAATCCATTCCGTCTGTATAGCTCCACCCACCGGAGGTGAGGGGCTGTTCAGGAGGAAATGCGGGTGTGGAGAGCCTGAGGGAGCAAGCAGGTGTGATGGCCCTGCTTTGAGATAAGTTTGCCTGGATCTGTTGTGTCAGCTTCTCTCTGCCATACAGCAGCATTTCTCTTCCTTTCCAATGATCACCCTTTTGTCTCAATGCATCCTTTCTATGCTCTGTCGCCTCGGTTGTTCTGTGGAACTAGCAGAGACAGTATGTGACTGCTGACCTCTGTGCTGTGTGGTAGCCCAGCGCCGGGATCACGGTGGGTTCTTCAGCTCACCTGTTTCTCCCTCTTACATATGAACATTGAATGAATAAAGGAGGCTGAGGGTTGTCAGAAGAGGTTATCATGCAAAGTTAATAATTTTACTTTATTGTATTGTTTCTGCTTCAACAGACTTTCCCAGGCCCCTTTAATGCTAAAGTTGATTATAATAACATCTCTTCATAATGTTCTGCAGTCCAAATGTTGCTGATGTAGACTTTCTAAGAGTTGCCTAATTTCACTATGCAGGCAGACAGTAAAATGAATCACTTATTTTTCTAGACCAAGCAGAAACATAACTTACTTCCAGTGGGAAAAGGCCTTGTTAACTTTGGCGACTCGATGCTTGTGTTAATTGGTTGGCCTGAACCCCATATCTCAGGCTGATCTAAAAGAACTGGAAACATAAAGAGAAAATTTCCCAGGGTGAGTTCAAAAAAGAAATGTCCTTGGATTTTAGAACTTTAAATTTCAATTTAAAGTTGAGCTTCATAAAATTACCTCCTTCTTGCCTTGGCACTGACAAATTTAGGAATGTACTACTCCTCCATCTTTTCAAGGAAAGGATGGAAATAGGAGTGGGGTGTATGTGTGTGTGTGTGTGTGTGTGTGTGTGAGTGACATGGTGGTCATGTGGTGTCTGTGTGTGCACATATAGTTAAATAAAAACTTTCAAAAGAGAGTGTATTTTCTTATTGGTTGGTCACTTAAGGACATTCTAAATTTCAGTACTGGCTCTGTTTTTGGCACACATTTGAAAATTCAGGCATTAATCCCATGGACATTTGTTTTAAATTGGTTTATTTAAAATTTGCTGTGAATATGCTTCGAAAGCAAAAATGCTTGTGTTCTGTAGAGTGGTTCACATCTTTAAAACTTTTACAGTGTCTTTAACTAAACCTTTTACAGCATCATAAAGAGAAACTAAGTTATTTTTAAAGTATTTGGTGAATATCTTAGAGAACCAGAAAAATAAACAAGTGCTTAGACATCTAAACAAAATCAGGGCAATTAGGTATTGGACCTGAAATCACTGAAACTAACATTTGTTCTATTTCTTTTGTCTCCTCTTTCTGATTTTTTTATTGCTATGGTAACAACATAAATAATTAGCCCTTCTCAGCACCTATCATGAACAAGAATGTATGCAAGTACTGTTCCTAATTCGTTATGTTGTAAAACAGGCTGAGAAGTTGGATGTGGATGTGAATCTAGCCTCTACACTTACTGTAGGACCTCAGACAAGTCAGTTAACATCTGAGCTTCCCTTCTTTCAGTGTAGAGATAATAAGAGGAATTTCAGAAGTCACTAAAAGAATTAAATAAGGTAATATGTATTGATATAATATGTATAAAATTATACATAAAACACTTATCACGAAGTTAATAGCTATTACTATATATACTATATATTACTATATATATATATACTATATATATATTTTAATTCTCATAACACCACCCTTTGTTTAATATTAGTACCATTTTCACAAGAAGAAACAAAGATTAGAATGACTAAATAACATGCCCAAGAATTTACATGGTGAAAATAGAGGAATTAAGATTTGATCTCAGGCATGCACACCAAAATACATATTTTTTCCCCAGGTTTTTAAAATTAGTGATAGAAGAGTTAATCAAAAGAAGTGAGAGCAAGTAGCTATGAAAGGTAAGTGTGGAGACTGGAAGAGCTACTGTGCTTGGTTCAAATGTTGGGACTTTACAGAACTTCAGGGGCTGAAACCATTTGAAGAACAGTCAAGCCAGGCTCACTGACACACCCAGCTGTGAGCTCTCCATCACACACCCACAGATGGGCTGGGCTTTGTTTTGTTTTGACACGAAAGAAAACATTCTCCAAAGATGTGAAACAGAAATTTTGTGTGTGTGTGTGTGTGTGTGTATGTGTGTTTGTGTGTGAATTTGATGCGGGATATCACCTTCATTTTTAAGAGCTGTTTTCTATTTTGTATATCGGATTTCTGTACAGTTATGGAATTCTTTTAATAGGTAGACTCAGATGTAACAAATCAAATCCCACCTTCAGTCAGTAAACAATTTTGTCATTAAACAAGCTGAGACAACCAATAGGCTCATCATACAGCCAGCTTTACTCAAGGACGCCAAGTTGTAGACACTTAAATCACTAAAGGAGTATTTAAGGATGTTCCTTATTCATTTTCCTGAGTATATCATTGAAACATGTTCAGATGTGGATGCCTGCTAGCTGTCTACCAGCATCCATTCTCCATTTCTTCTACAGTTTGAGTTTTTCGTTGGCCCTAGGGCACTAAATCCTTTCTAAAGGGCTCTGGTTGGGAGTGATGTGTGTCTCTTCCAGAATTTGCTCTCCCAAGAATTGGCAGTGAGTTTCCCTGGGCCTCCCCAGCGACTCTTTCTTCTGTCTGGGAGATGACAGATGCTGGAGCAGACCCCTTAGAGACAGAGGCCACAAGTGGAGGAGAGCACAGCCACCCTACCAGTCCTATATTGTTTGAGACCATGAATACGAAATAGAAATAAAATCATATCTTGTTTAATTGATTCAACTTTGAAGCCTACTCATTACGCTTTCAAATCTTGTCCTTAACACTTAAATTTAATTTCCTTCACTAACAGGTCCTAGAAAAATAACATTTTATTATACATGTGCCATAGTGCTCTTAAATCAAATGATTTTTATAAAACCATTCCATATTACCAAACACAGCTATTGGAGATGTATGCATTAGACATAAATACATTTCCAGAATAGATTAGATCCCTTCTATAAATAGTTTCATTTATGCCAGCAAAGTATGCATTATTTACAGCCATCCAAACAGGATGGTTCATTTAAAAAAGTTAAATATTTAACTCCAGGAATACATATTTAATAGGTAAACCCAACAATAATGGCTGAAATGACATTTTTCCCACAACATTTTATTTCTAAGTTGCTAAATGATTCAAGGTCATTCCTGGGTCTTGAGTCTGCAAATGAGGTCTGTTTGTGAGCCATCTAACTGACACCTCCATTGGTGAGATGGAAAAGAGAGTAAATGTGGTCAGAGACAAGAAGGTATCTTACAGTGGGCTCTGCATCCCACCCTTTTGTAACACACACAATTAGTTATAACAGCCTAATCCCTCAAATACCTCACCTCTCTGTGGCATCTTACTACACTGATGGATAGTGACTGCAATGGGGCATGGCAGGGGGGACTCAATAATATGGGCAAATGTAGTAACCACATTGTTTTTCATGTGAAACCTTCATAAGAGTGTATATCAATGAGACTTTAATAAAAAAAAAGTAAAAAAAAATGTGGTCAGAGAAGTTAGGTCACAATGATAGTGACTGTGACAGGGAGTTTGGGGGTCTGGCTGCACAGCGATGGTTGTTTGAGTCACAGAGCACTTCCACCCTGACCAAAGATTTGTATGGATTCACAATGATTCTTAACCTCTTTTGAGGAGAAAACTTGTTAGCTATCAGATATTTCTGGAACTAAAGTTTCAAATGTTAAAATACTAGATTTTTGCAAACTAAACCTGTGTGCTGATAACCCACCTAGATCAGAACTTTTCGTTCATTCACATGAGGATCTGATAGTATTTTTAAAATATACTTCAAAACACATATATTTACTCTAGGTGAGTCATACTTCAATGAAAAGAAAAATTAATCTATAGATATACACATTTTCCTACCTTCTGTCTTCTGTTCATCAAAAGCTGATTCTAATGGTGGGCCAAAGAGAGGGGCCAGGGCCACAGTGTCATCCAGAAGTTTTTTGCTAAATCATACACATTAAAGCAAGACATGGATAAAGGGAATATTAATGTTAAAAAAGAAATATAAGCCTTCAGATATATTTCATAGTCAGGTAGTTGTATGTCTGTGCATTTGTGTATATAATGCATGTACAAAAGCTCCCTAGGGCTAGGAAATTCATGTAAGGAAGTCAAATGTAATATGGACAAGAGAATTGGTAGGAGATAGGATCCCTGGTTCTCAACAGGGGACCAAAGTTGCTGGTCCAACAGAATGAAGTTGAAAGAGAAACTCTTTCAAAGCATCGTGATTCTCTCTGCCAAGGGGAGATAACATGAGACATAACAGTTTATTGCAAAGCACCTTATTATCTTAAGATCTCAAAAACCATGTGTGTTTGTCTTCCCTGTATCTCTGCATTGTAGTTAATATAGTTTATGATTAGTAAAAGTTAGGCTTACAGAGGTTAGGTGATAAGCCACTCAGAAAGTTTGTTTGAATAAAAAATTAGGTCTACCAGCTCCTCGTTTCCACCCTCTGCATCCCACCCTTCTCTAACACACACAATTAGTTTTAACAGCCTAATCCCTCAAATACCTCACCTCTCAGAGAAGAATAATATTGAGATATCGGGGGAAAGTTAGTAAGTTAATAATAGTAAAGGAATAAACTACACTCTTATCCATTCTCCTAATTATGCTTAAACTGGTTATTAACGAAAGACTGCACAATTTCTCCATTTCTTTTCCAGACCTGATTCCCCTCACTGGTCCTAATGAGATCTACGTTTGTGTGGTGGTAAGAGGAGGCAAGGAGAGGGGAGGGGCTAGAGGAAGAGGGAAAGTGAAAAGGATCCAGCTTTTAAGCAGAAATAGCAGTCTTTGGGGAAAATAATGCCCATTTGTACAATACTTACTTAGCCCAAAGAATACACAGTGTAAAATCAATGCTTTGTCAAAAACAAAAAGACAAAACAGAAGATTCTTTTGGTGGAATGTGGCACATGGAAATTGTATCCAACTAAGTAGGCAATGTAACCATATATCAGATCAGCATTCCAGAAACCGAAAAAGACCTCTTTTTAAGGAGGCCTTTAGCCCTCCATTAGTGTGGTGTCCACCTGCACACTCTGTTGGACAGTTACCTTAGATGACTACAGGGTACTTCAAGTACCCAACAGCCTCCTTGAGGCTGCACCTATAAGATATGACATATTTGAACCAATCTATGGAGTTACACATATGAACAGAGCTTTTATTCATAGGAGCTGTGATTTTAGTTCAAAAGGGATTTGTATAATTGTTAACAGTGTTTGAAATCTTGCATGAAACAACTAATATCTTCCATGCTCACCTCACAAGTTCTGGAGTTGGTGTGGAGCGCCTGGGTCTCGCCACTTCTTCACCTGATGCACAGGACAAAGCAACATTTTAGGCATATTTTTATCATTCCTTTCTAATATGTCTTAGGAGCTATGTTTGGAAACACTTAGAGATTTAAGTCCCATTAATAAGCAACTCAACATGAAAATTTTGCAAAACAAACCTTCTACCCCTGGCAATGCAATAGCCGCATTTTAGGCATATGTAGTAGCATTTTCTCTAGCATTTGTAAAACCTAATTAACCAAGGGATTACCATGATAAGCTGTCAAATACAAGATCCATCTACTGCAGAGTTTTGTGGGTTAGCATACCACTCTTTGAATGTCTGCTGCTTTGATCAGTTCTGCTTCCCCATTACCATAAAAGACTACTAAGCCAGGCCATATGTACCTAGTACATGAATCCAGAATTTGCTGCTTGTTCTTTTCTTGTAATGCCAAGAAAATGTTACATCTTTAACTAGGAACCATGAATTTAGAACTCCCTAGAATGTGCTTTATGCAGCAGAAGAAACTCATCACCTACATACTATAACCAAATCATACCAATGTGGTTGACTAAAACTTTCATATTGAATAACACAAGAATGGGTAAGTTGCATCTACCTTCAGTTCCTTCTGCCCTCCTTCTCTCACACCCCCATCAACAAATACACGCTTGATGAAATTCATTTTAGAAGCCAAATAACAGAGCAAGAGTTGACAAATATAGGAAGAAAATAACAATGCTTTCCCCATAATGTATTCATTTTCAGAATTTAAACATTGATCATTTGAAACCCACTGAGCCCCTTTATCATTACAAGATTTCTTTGCTGTAGAAGTAAAACGTTTGTAAACCTTAAAAATCAAGCCCAAGAGTATATAATTCAAATGTACACATAAATATATATAATTATATGCTCTAATATCCAAGGAACTATTTCTTCTTTTAAATCACACTCTATTTTTCTGGTAGCTAAGATATACTTACTGGATAAGTTCCTTTTAATTGCACCCTAGAATTAGAAATAGACACTATAAGGTTTAAGACCACATATGTAATGTACAATATGTATATTTCTGTATTACAATTAAACTGAATTCAAAGAAATGCAGATGGGGAAAATGATACTTTTCTCAGAATTGTATTTAAGTTGGAAATTATAGACACACACATATAAATCAAATTTTCACTTTACTCAAAGGGTATATAGAGAGGAAGGGAGGGTAAATCATAAGTCTTCCCAACTAGAAAATCCCCTTACCTGGGTAGATTTGGTAAATTAAAGTAAATATTAAATAGTCTATTTAAAAAATAAATAAAATTCTGAGGTCTAGCAGACAAGAAGGTAAATCCAAGTTTAACATATATTTGATGTCTGGAAATTACAGAATGTATCAGGAGTGCCATCTGCTCTTATCAGGGTGGGGGCAGTCCATAAACTCTTAGCAGAAATAGTCATTAGTTTACTAATGCATTTAAAAAAATATATGTGGTAAATGTTAAAGGGAAGGAACACTTGGAGGCTTTGCCACTAAATGGGCTGTTTTATTCAGGGAGCCAGGGAATTCCATTCACTCCACCTGCTCTCCCCACACCAACTTCTTCCACTTGCCTTCCAAGGGGCCCACAGCCCACCAATTAGGATTCATTCCTTTAGGTCAAGGCATTGTGATACTACCGGAATGCAGATAGCCCTGGCAGGAATGATCTGAGATTATTTTTAGTTTTAGTATGCTCTAGCAGAAACTTATTTCAGTAACAGAAGGATTGATAAAATAAAACATTTTGATTTAAAACTGCTGTGAAAGGTTCTAGCAGGGGTGGTTCCAATAAAGTAGGCACTAGAAAGGGTGGCCGCATGGGGTGGGGCCTGCATTAGGAGAATGGCAGGGGCAGAGCGGGCGTTGGGGAAAGAGGAAGTATAAGATAGTATTTCAAAGGTTATTACCATGAGTTTGTTGCGTGATCATGAAATGCACTTCTTTCTACTTTCCTACTTTGGTGAAGTTTCAGCGTGGTGTCACAAATATGTTTTCTTCTCTTAAATGATAACATTAACAACTCAAGACAAGATGTAGTGCCCGTGTAACAGACCTATACATTTCTTACCCTCTTTCCTAACAATTTATCAGAATTTTCTGTTTCATTTTGGACTCATTTATGAGAGAGGAGTGGTTTGAACCTCAGAAAGGATCTGCTAGATGTTTTCGGGTGGGTGTGAAATTATATTTTCTGGCTTGTTTTGCCTAATAATGCAGTCTGTGTGTATGTGTCATATAGAGAACTATTACATTATTACTCAATCAAAAAATTTATCTGAATAAACATTTTAAATTAATTTGTTTATTAAGTTAATACATGCTTATTTAAATTAACAAATAAACATTTAAAATAAATACAGTCATTTAAATCAGCTACAGTTGTTATGGAAGTTTGGATTCAGGTTGGTTTTTAGAAAATAAGACTCTATAGATAAAAATAATAAAGAACTAATTGTTTAAATGGAGTTAAAATATTTCTCTAGGTTATGGAGCCTGAGAGAGTCATATTTTTATTAATAAGGTCTGAAGGAAAAGACAGGGGGTCTAGTTCCAGGGAGTCAATCACAAGTTTGGTATTGATGGAATAGGATCCAGCTGGGATTGTGAGGCCTGAAATGCAGTAGTTATCCAGGGACCCCAAAGGCTGTGTTGAAGACCTTTAGGTCTCTCTGAATTACCCCTTTTATTAAAGCTATAATACTCATGAAACCAAGAAAGAAACAAAGATTCTTTCATGTTTATTGATTCCCAGTTTATCAATTCATTCAATAGATGTTTACTATTAGGAAGTATTAAATGAGAGGGCCCCATGACATTTTTATTAAATATTTTTCACGAATGAACAATCACCAGGTAAGTGCAAGCAGGATGTGGAAGAAATATGCAAGAAAACTTTGCTGTTTAGAAATCAGGAAGAAAAAAAGGTATCAGTTTAGAAAGGAACAGCTATTCTAATGATCAGCAGCAAGTCTGCAGGAACAGAAAAGAAAGTCCTGTTGTCGGCTGGATCCAGCATGCAGATCGTTGATGGCCTTGATATCCCAGCACGACAAATCCAGCACAAGATTACAATGAGGTCCATCACACAAACCACATCCAAGAGAAAAGCTCACTGAATTACAGAATCTTCTCACCAAGTGATCGTCTTCCTCCTAGCCATGGTTGTCCTTCTATGTGTACTGTGAATACATTCCCTTCATTTTGAATTTGAAAGAGTTAATTCACTCGTTCTTTTACAAAAAAAAAAAAGAGTGACCTGTCATAATCTGAGATGTGACCTAGCTACTGGGTTGGGATCCTCCACACCTGGAGAACAGTCCCTGCAGCTGTTCGTATTGACCACCAGCTGTATGGTTTGAACAGAGAGCCACCAACGTGTCAGCAGGGGCAGAGGATTTGCCTTAAATATTCATTGATTAAGCACGCGGGCACAGGCCTGGGGATATTTCAGAGGGCATTGTCTTCAGCTCATGTGCCCTCTCCAGAGACTGACCAGGCAGACGGAGGTCAGTCCAAACAAAGGAAAGATCTTTCTTTTTGTTGCTTTAAATTCATCATGCTTTTTACCTGAGGAAAATGACAGATTTCATTTTGAACAATGTAGACTAATACTGCTTTGTCTTCAGTGATGGAATACGAAATTATGTGATGGCCTAGAAATACGGACTTGAAAGCATGTCTCTTTATCCCAAGATGACAATTATGATTATGAATTATTATGTATTGGTAGGCTGACTGATGTAAGTTACGGTCCAGGAACTTATTTTAAATTCAGGCTTAAAAACAACCTGGTTTAAAAAATATTTCCTTACTTCCCTTATAGTTTTCTTATTCTTTGCTATCATTGTGCTATAAAATTCTATGCTGCTTTCTGGTTAATCTCCAGACCTTGCACACACACACACACACACACACACACACACACACACACACACACACTTTTCAAATTTAGCACTAGGAGTTGGGATACCTATGTGCTGATTTAGTTTGTTACAAAAAAGTGCTCTGATAATCCTAAAATATGCTCTTAACACTTAGAGAACCAGAGGCTTTCAACCAGTAAACCCAGTTCAACTGCCTCATTCATACTGGGCTATCACAAATTTAATGGGAAGCCAACTTGGCCACCTTGCCCTGGCAACAGTTTTCTCTATACATGTTCAAGGTAAAAATGTTGAGAGTTCTTACCGGGCTGCGCCTCTGTGATCAGCAAAAAGGAAGAGAGAAGAGACACCTAGTCAGAGAATGATGGATCAGTCAACAGGCTTGGGTAACGGACTTCATAAACAGCTGAGCAAACATACACTCCAAGTGATCCGGCCAAAGGAAGACAGACAGTCATTGTGTTTGTGGCTTATTTAAACCATAAGAGAATTATTCATTGTAAAATACTAATGGGGATATATTACTTTCAGTTATGTGTACACAAGAACAAAGCAGAAACATACAAGAAGACTTTACTGATAGCTTCTAACATCTCCTCATAAGGTGTTTTTCTCCAGACAACTTGAGGAGTTTGAGAGAATAGGCAGTGCAGGGACCCCCTCACCACAGGGTGTAACGAAATACCAAAAGCATGATGAATTTTCCACATGACTAGGGCCTAAACTGGAGCCTCCAAAAATCAGAGAGCAGGCTCAGAGAGACCTCTTCTTTGCCTGGCTCTCTCTTTAGTGTTCTGCGTAATGAGTGCTGATGACATTTTTTATTTTTGCAAATATCTGTTCTTGGCCTGGTGATTTGGGCAGCCTCTGCCAATGGGTGGGAAGGTGATGGGGAAGATGAGGAGCCGCTGACAAGCGCAGGTGGGAATAATGAAACCTGTCCAGGACCACAGAACACTGGTGGGCCAGATGATGTCTAGGAAAATACAACAAGCAGACATACAACTTCTTTCTCTCACTCCTCGAACCTTGAATATGGCTGCTATCAATTTTCCCCAGCAATCTCTAATCACTCTTCCTCTTAAGGAGTTTTCTGCAGTAACGAGAATGACTATAATATGAGTGTGGAAAGAGATGTTGCTGAGTTTCACTCTCAGGATATGGGGTAGCACATGAAGTCACCAGAGGCTACCTGGTACCCAGTATTTGTCAAATCACAAAATCTGGGCCAGAAGCATAAACCCAAAAGTGTCCGTAAAGTTGCTCAAATGAACCTCCAGAACAGAGACAGGAAACAAGAACCTATAGTCTTTTATACCTGGGAAGCCTCTGTGGATACCTAGTCCAACTGCCTTTATGATTCAAGAGGAAAGTGAGGATCTGCAAACACAGCTAGTAAATGGCTGGAACCAGAGACAGAGTTTAGATCTCTGATCTCCCATTCTCATGTTCTTTACAGGACCATGAGTTGATATTGTTGAGGGTCTCCTAAAGAGAACCAGGAATGGTTATTTCTTGTTTTGAATGTTTTGTAACAAAACTCACTACTTTAGAAATATTTATTCAATTTTACTTGTAATATTTTAGACTTTATTATTTGCCTAACTTTTCAGGGGCTGCTCCATACTGATCCCACCTTTCTTATATAAATCTGTCCATATGCATGAATGCAATTTATATAAAATAAGAAAAAATATGCTTATGAATATGTATTTCTGGGCATAAACTCTTTTACTAATTCATACTGTATTTTGAGAGAAGCTCACTCTTTTATATGAAGATTTCGATTTTATAATTCTTAATGACCTGACTAAAGTTCTCTAAAGAAGGAACTGGAGGAATTTATGATTCTTGCTTCAAGTTCATGGCAAGCAATTCACATTTAAAACTAGCAAAAATGACAGCAAAGGGGATTAAAAGTGACACAAATTCCCAAGATGAAATTGTAAGAAATAAAGCAAAATAAAATGCAAATTGCAACCATATAGAAGCAGAGCCTTAAATTCAAAGAAACTTTTATTATTTTGAGATTATAGGGAACAATTCTCAAAATAACTTTAATTATATTAATCTACCCAAATTAAGTC